TTTCTGTCGCGACGTGCTGCGACGAGGCCAGGACGAGGCGAACAGCGGGTGGAGAGAAGCTCCCAGACATGATCGCGCCGACGCAAACATCAAGACGGGAGGTTGTTGGCCAAAGTCGGCCTCGGGGGGCCCTTGCCGGGCCTCGGGACCGTCAGAAAACGGCCCAGGATGAAAGACTGGTCCCAGGGAATGGGTCGGGACTTCCAGGAACCCCGTACTGCACACTGTGCACAGCAGGACGTCGCATGCCTGGGATCGAGAACCTTTGAGATCCGGCGGCTCGGGAGGATGTCTCGGGCGGCACGCCCTTCTCAGAGCCTTCCGGAACGCTCCGCTCTGGGACGGAATCTCCTCCTCTCAGAACCGTTCTGGAGGAGGAGGAGGAGGAGGAGGGGGAGGACGAGGAGGAGGGGGAGGAGGAGGAGGAGGAGGAGGAGGAGGAGGAGGAACCTTCCCATCTCAGACTCGTGCTGGAACGCTCTGGAACGGCTCGGGCCTCGCCCTGGCCCCGCCCGACGCGGGCCCCCCCCCCTGCGCGCTCTCGCCCCCTTCCTGGGCACCAGGCCGGTGCCTCCCCCCGGGCCTCCTGGGGCTCGGGAGCGGCCCCCGCGAGGCCGCAGGCGCGCGGGGGCCGGCCGTCGCCGTGTGTGTTTTCTGCGCGCGCCGCCCAGGTCCGGGTCTGACTGGGTAGTCGAAGCCAATCTGGCGCCAACCTGGCAGGCCCAATCTGGCAAACGGGGGCAATCTGGCGAGGGAGCCAACGCGAATCCAGTCTGGCGAATAAGCCAAATTATCCAGCTTGGCCGGGCCAGATTGGCCCTTGGGGCCCAATCCAATCTGACAGTCTGGCCTTCGACTACCCAGTCTGAGGGTGCGGAGGGCTGGTCGCCGTCAGATCGGATCGCGGCGGCGTGGCTTTCCACCGCTCGCGGCCTCGGGGTTCCGTGTCTCCTGCCCCCGGGGGCCGCCCGCAAAAGCGATAGACTCTCAGGAGGAGCGGCCGGCCTCCGGGGGCAGAGGCCGAGCTCTCCCAGGGGGTCCACGTCACGAAACTGCTGCGCGGCGCCGTCGTCGGAGATGGTGCCGTGGGTTCGTGGCGTGCCGGCCCTGGCGTTGGTTTCTGACACCGCGCTGGATCGCTCCATCTTGAACGATCGGCCGTTTCCGTAACGTTAGATCGTTCCACGCCGACCGATTCTGGATCGCCAGCGGCGTTGAACGTTGAACGTCGGCAGCGGGGTCGCCGCCAGTCGGCACGACACTCAGGAGGGGGAAAAACACCCAGACACAATGCATCGTCGACTCGCAGGAAAATATTTGGGAAAATATGGGAAGCGGGGGGGAGGAGACGAACACCCCGAAAATATGGGGAAACATGTGGTGAGCCCTGGGATTTGTGTCTATTTCTTTGTGTGTCCTTGGGCCCCCTTCAGACACGAACCTGATTACCGCACACCGACCCCATCCTGCATGATGAAGTTGTGATGTCCCTCCCTCATCCTCCCCCCCCCCCTTCTCCCCCTCCTTCCCCCGCCTCCCTCCCCTCTGCTGCATGTTTCTGGATTCCCAGTTCCAGATTCTGCTCACGCTTCAGGTGTGTTGTCTGGCTGGTAGTCGACTTGTACACCCAGGCCCTGCACAGGGCCGAGCAGCCGACAGACATGCTCGCGTGGTTCTGAAGTGGCCCTGAGACACACACAAATAAATACACACAAACAAAACGATTCCCCATCTATTCCCATATTTTCTGGGTTTTCGTCTCCCCCCCCCACTTCCCATATTTTCCCATACTTTCTGGGGAATCGAAGATTCATAGTGTCTGTGTTTTTTTTCCCCTCCTGAAGTTCGCTCGCTCGCCACCCCTCCCGCGACGGCCTCCTTCCGCGACGGCCCGCTCGCCCTCGAGAGCCTCCCCCCCCGGCCCGCGAACCCAGAGCGAGGCGCGGGGCCGCCGCGGAAGACAGAGGCCTCCCGGCTGGTTGCACGCTCATTCTGGGGACCTTCCTGGAGCCACTCGCTCCACTCGTGCGTCGAAGCTGCGTCGAACCTGACTCGAACCCGAGTCGAACCTGCGTCGAAGCTGCGTCGAACCTGAGTCGAATCTGAGTCGAAGCTGAGTCGAACCTCAGTCGAACTTGAGTCGAACCTGAGTCGAACAGATCCGTTGGGTGGGCCCCAGGAAGGTCCCCAAAACGAGCATCGAAGAATGGGGTCTCGGTGGGTGGGGCCGGTGGCTCTCACCGAATCGGCGATGCGTCGCCGAGGCATCGGCCATGCAGTGGTGACGTCAACGATGCATCCGCGACTGCGTGGAGGATGCATCGTTGACGTCACCACGCATGGCCGATGCACCCGTCAACGATGCATCGGCCATGCAGTGCGTGGAGGAACTCGGGCTCCACATCGAGCCGCATCGCAGAGGCATCGGCGATGCGGCGCGATCCTCGGGCCCCATCTGCACGTCGTGCATGTCCAACCGTGCTCATTTCGGATCGTGCTCGTTTCTACTTGCTCCTGACACCCTGGTGGCCAGGAAGAGGACAGAGCAATTAGAAATGCAAGGATCCTGGCCCCCCCAAAGCACAGGATCAGAAAATTTTCGAATAGTCATAACCGAACAGTGTGTACTCGGACCTGAGGGGCAACGATAGGGGGGGATAGGGATAGGGGGGAAACATCGACCTGGAATCGGCGATACATCGCCGATCGGCCTCCGATACTGAATCCGCACCTTCCTGGGCAGGTTGGGGCTATGGGCTATGGGGCCCCCATCGGCGATCCATGGGCGAGCGGGGGTCGATGCACCCCCCCCTGTGCCGATATCCCCCCCCTATCTTAGGGAAAAACAACCCTACCTCGCTTTTGACCACCCTCGCTTCCAAGAGATACCAAACGATGCCAAACTACGGCCTGTACTGGTCAGGCCGCTTGACGAGGAGGCGCGTGGTATGACTTGGTTTTGCCTGGAAGCGAAAGCGGGGTAGGTAATTCACGCTCTGACTATCGTTGTTGCCCCTGAGGGCCCCATCCGGGAGGCCTCCGGCGGGGACGGCCTGCCGGGGGGCCTGCCGGGGGGGGGGGGGGGTCGGCCTGCCGGGGAGGGGCCTGCCGGGGGAGGGGGCGGCCTGCCGGGGGGCCTGGCGGGAGGCCGCCGGCAGGGGACGGCCTGCTGGGGGGGGGGGGCGACCTCCGACCTTTGGCGCGCACTGCGGCGAGAGCGCCCGGGGGACCGAGCCCCAGGCCCAGACCCCCGACGTCAGGATTTTGTCATGACGTCGGCCCCCAGAGGTTTCGACCTATTCCCAGGGACCGGTTCTGCATCCTGAGTCGTTTTTTTTTGACGGTCCCGAGGCCCCGTATAAAGGGCCTGGCCGAAAACGGC